ACTATTCTATTAACAGATCCGATTATTTATTTTTTCTTTTTTGGTTCCACATACTCATATCTTAAGTCTATTGACATAAACTTAAAAACTAATCATTTTTAATTTTATGCCACTAATTAAAAAACTAATCATTTATAGTAATAAAACTTGTTAAATGTCTTTTGCCAAACAAATTATTTATTAGTTTCACAAAAAAAAATTTGCAATTCCTAATTTTACCAAATTAGTTAGTACGTAGTTATTTTGTAATCATTATTCATCGATTTTAGTCATTATTTATTTTTGTATTCATATGTTGCTTAGACTAAGATTTAAATTAAATTATTATAGAAGAAAATATAACTGAATTAACGTTGAATGATTGTAAAACTTTAACTTATGCATTTATCAAAATAAATGTTGCATACAATTACTTTATATTATAATTCAAAACATCACTTTTAATTAAAGACTCTAAAATTTAAATAAGTAATTAAAATTAAGAATGCAATAAAACCAAAGAGGTGATGATTAATATTACAAGCAAGCACCGTGAAAGTTATAAATAGCTAATAGTTAAAATCGTTCTAACTTTAACGACATCCAAAAATAAATTTGGATCTTCATTGTTTTATAATGTTTTAAAGAGATGCACAGAGAAGTTTCAAAGATTTTCATTGGTTGTTGAGACACCATCAAAATATTCTTTTTACAAAAAAAAATTTCGAAGCTTAATTCATAGCTTAATTAATTCGTTAATGATTAATATTTCGGAGTGATGTTGATAGAGGGGATTAGTCTACTGTTTATTAGAAAAAGTAATGTCTACTATTTATGTCTGCATTTTAAAATAATTTGCTATAAACTATATGTTTTTAAATTGAACAATCATTTCGACATCGAGGTGTAGTGGTTAATTTTATGCTTATTTTGCCAATTTTTTTTCTGAATCAAGAACGCTAACATCTCCTCTTGTTTCCACTTGTTAAACATAAAAACAATTTAAACTTTTTTTTTAAATTTTAATCTTTCTTTACAAAAAATAATGCTACACTGCATAAAAGTTCGGATTAAATCACGGTAAAAAATGCCAGCATTCATGGTGCCGATACTTTTTTTCCGTTAAATCCATTTTTACCGTAACATGTTACGAAACAAAAGATCTGATGTACCGTAATTTTAACACCTATAATTATAATAAAAATACTGAATCACTCTGATTGAATAAATAAAACTGTAAAAATTACGGTAAAATATTTTACGGTAAAAATAGATTTTATGTATGATGCATCCAAAGTGCCGGTACTTTATACCGTAATTTGATCTCCAATTTTTTACAGTAAATTTAATATTTTTTGAGAAATATATATTAATGTACAATTACATTGTTTGAATCGCCCCCCAGTTGGCCGAGCTGTTAGCGCGCCTGACTGCAAAGCCAATGGCCGCAGGTTCGAATCCCGCTCTGGGCATGGATCTTTCTCTCTCTTGTGTTGTCCTCTGTTGTATGTGATGTTGAATGTGGCCCACCCTATGAACGGGTTTGTGGCAGTGTGGCGTGGGCAATCTTACTTGCCTCCGTGACTTTGGTTCACGAGTACCCACTGGGTAACGCGAAATTAGTAACACCTCTGGCATCTTCTAACGAATTAAGTTCAGTGCCTGCCATTCGAAAAAAAAAACATTGTTTGAATCATGGATTCATGATAATCTGGTATTGAATATTGATGATTCAATAATTTTGTGTCAAGGGGAAAAGGAAAAGTTAAAAGAAATATATATATAAATCTAGCCGTCGTTGGTGAACAGCTTTGTCATCCTCACAAACTCGCCTTTTCGCGATTCTTCCCTCTTAAAGCCCTAGATTCCCTAGTTCTTGTCTATGTATCTAGGGCTTTACTCCTTCTGTGGTAAAACATTTCGGTAATGAAACGTTTAAAAGTTAATTTAAAAAGTTCAGGGGAAATTATACAGGATTATTAATTTTAAACGTATTGAGCAAACCCTCCGAATTTGTGATAATTTAAAAGCTTTAGCCGGAGATTAAACGCCGTTTTCGAAGATTGTACGGCAGAGATCCGAAAAGAAGAAAAACTAATCTTTAAAACAACTAACGCTCGGAAAATCTATTTATATATATTAAAAAACAATCCAATTATTTGATTCTAATAATAACAACCCTTAGTTATGTGCCAAATAAATTTAAAGAAAAAACATGCTTTCTAGCAAAAATTACATTTGAATCAGCCTACAAAATAAATGCTCAGACAAATCTATTTATTACCCCTCAACTAAACTTTATTTGATGCTTTGAAACACAAATTTATTTGTCGCTTCGAGACTTAAGTTTATTTGATATTTTGCAACTGAAATCTGTTTAATGCTGCACAAATCTATTTAATTCCATCTTTTCAAAGCTAAAACCGTTCTGGTGCTGTCTATGTTATTACAATCTAGTGTAATCTATATATTTTTTATCCAACTTTTCTGACTACGACGATATGAATATTTTATGTCAATAATATTACAATAAATGTATTTTACAGATAAAAATTAAAGAAAAACGTATTTTTAGATGACTGTAAATTTCTGATAAAGGTTCAATTGTTTTTTGTTTTGCTTTTTACATATGTGATATATTTTTAAATGGCAACAATAGATCGACATATTACTTTGACGAGAGGGTTGCCAACCTAAAGTGAGAAACACCCGGATTTTCGGTGCAGCGTAAAACAGATATATTGAAGAGCTGTTTGAAAAAAAAACGTGTTGTTTGAATTTCGTAACAAGTGTATCTAGAAAGTCAACTTAAGATGCCTAGATGCAACAGCCTAGATAGCAAGCAACGCTAAGGCAAATATTGTATTTTCATTTGGTTAGCGTAGAAAGGTTGCCTAATTAATCCTTTTTCAAATTTAAGAAATGCAATTGAATAAAGTCAAATAAAGAAACTATAAGAAAAAATCTCCTTTTATTAACTTTTACTATAAACCATATTTTTCCCTTTTTCTTCATTTTAGCTTTGTCTAGGCTCTAAAATGCAACATTATGTTTCTGGTGAAAACATAATGATCCTTCAACCTTCACTTTTAGAGTGTTAAAGAAAGTATATAAAAGCTTGATCAAATAAACTTTGTTTCAATGATAGTCATAAGATCTAAAATAAACCTTGATTTGCGAATGATGATTCACCTCACATTCAGACGGTTTTCCTATCCTTGTTTTGTAATGGCGGATTCAATTTCTATATAAAAGAGGTGTTAATCCAAGCATCATGCGAACTTCGTAGCGCGTAAACTAGCATAGTTAAATTTAATATTGTTTCAAGCTTGAATGGTTCTTTTACTAATCACTTATGAACCTTGTTGGGCTTTGTAATAAGAATTGTTATTGACATTAAAATCAAGCATACACTGCTATCTAGAGGTAAGCTGTCGCTCATAAACATTCAAAACTACCTTATTTAATTGAAGAGTTCTCAAACAAAGGGACCGTGACATAGATCTAAACTTTAAACTCTGGCAATTTACTTTAAATTTAATTCGCTATAAATATTTTAGTACAAATTTATAACTCTTACAAGAAATCAGAATTAACTTAAACTTATGCTAGTTTTTTATAATAAAAAAAATTGTTAATTTTTTTTCTGACAGAAAGTGCCAATTTTTCACGTTTTTGCTATCAACTCAGCAAATATAAAGCAAAAAAAAAATTTTAAATAGTTCTTAAAGGTTTTCTGTTATAAGTAAGATAATAGAGATTAGTAGAACAGTTACTTGATAATATCCTTAACAAATGACAACACCGAGTACATGCGATGCACGTGCTTGTTAAATCTGCGAAATCGAAAGTCCTGCAGTCGCTCGCTGAGCTGTACCCTGTGTATAGGGATCTGGAGAAAAGTATAGGAGATCTGTATAGGGATCTCTTCCCCTTCCGATCTTTGTCTAAATTGAAGAAGAGGCCTCATGAAGGAATGGTGCATGTTGCAAACTATCCATGAGCTAAGACGTACTTTCACCTTTGAGGTGCTCTCTTGTCAAACGACAGGTGGATCTTCCTGGCTTAATTCGCAAAAAGGCAAACGGTTGATGAGCTTTTCTCGCCTAAGTGTCATTAGAAATAGCAACACAAATGACAGCACTTCAGAAATTATATTTTATTGAGTGAAAAATTTTTTAGAATGTCCAAACGTAACGATATGAGCACAGCTATAATTTTAACAGAAAATGCATTATAGTAGCTTATTTATTTATGTTCGAAATATTTTTTTTAAATATCTCAAAATATTTTCGTGTGTTTTTTTATGAAAGTTTTTTTATGAAATGCATGCACATGAAGCAGCAAATAGTTTAACCCCTTAACGCGCAGATTTTTTGAAAAAAACCGGCCAAAAATAATCTATTTTGCCAATCAAAAATCAATCCAACCAAATCCATCTCCTCAAAGGTTTCCATTTATTGCCGCTTTGGTTCAACTTTTCCTTCGGTGGACAATTTTGATATACCGCACTTTAGTTCCATGGAAAAAGGCTATATTTTATTCTTGAATAAAAAAGTGTGATAGCTTACAATCCTATATAAATGATAAATGCCAATAAAGCGATTTTTTTTCCTTAGCTTTCACATTGTTATTTTCAATTCTCGATTATATTCGAGTGTGAAAAATGATTGCAGCATAAAATACAACGTCGCTCGAATTATCTCGAGCTTGCACAGTTTGGCCTGTTGAGCTCGCTCGAATTAACTCGAGCGCACAGGTTAAGAGGTTAAAACGTCTTGCAAACGCAACAAATTTGTGAAGAGTCGCCTAACAATCGAAGCCCCATAAATTTAATGTTTGAAATAATTTAATACTTTTAAATTCAATGAAAAAGTTCACTGCGTATTTTGTATCAACTTTTTTTTATAATTTTATTTATGCCACTTACAATTTGTTTGGTAACATATAAATGTCTTAAAAATGTTTATTTGAAGCAAGGTGTAGAGTGTAGTATAAAAAATATGTTTTTTGTTTTATAGGTAAATGCTGTGTTTCTTGTGAACATCATTCGTATTTTGATCACTAAGATGCGTAGCAATGTAGCTATTGAAACCAAGCAAATCAAGTAAGTCGTTATCCTTCGCAATGCATTCAATGATTCAAATAAACTTATTAAATAACTCCACGGAACCTTCAGTTGTTAAATAAACTAAAAACTACTTAGAATTCGTTCTATCGGTAGACAAAAATAGGTATCCATATATCTCATAAAAATATGTATAGTGATATAAGGAGTGTCTTGAAAATTAGGAAAAATTGAACAAGATAAAAATGCATAGTTTGCAATTATGTTTATGCCATTGAATTTCAAATCTGTTTATAAAAATTATCAATAGGTGGCACTGATGATTTGGATCGCCATAAATTACTGTTTTCTGCTACATGCCATTCCAACTGACATATTTGCACAAGCGTCAGACTTTCGTTAATTTTGTCCTCATTTGCGCCATGTTACTACTGCAAATGGGGTACTTCTGAAAACTTATAATTTTATAGCTTTTTCTCAGTTAGCTGCTTTTGTTGACAAATTTTTTAACTAATTGTGAAATTTGTTGCAGAACTTATCTTATTGTTTAAGCAGAACGCAATAAGATCGTACTTTTCATCGTATTTTTTTTTATTATTATTTATTTTATTGATTTTCTTTGATTCATTTTTATTGGATATTCCGTATATTAATGTAAAAATCTTCCAACAAATTGATTTTCTCAAATTCTACGCAAAAAATATACATACATATTTGGAAGTGATAACATGCTGCTTAAACATCGTTTTCAATTAAATTATGAATGAATTAAAAATTTCATTTTGATTTCCTTTATGGAGTGAACTGCGAAATTTAAAAAAAAATCAATATTCCATTAGAGGATAAATTTTAAAAAATTTATTTTCGTACATGATATTATACTATATTAGATATTATATTCATCTGCAAATCCCAAGCAAAGCGATTGCATTTGCAACTTTATTACCAAATACTTACATCATGAAAACATTTTTGTAATCTTTAAAATATTATTTGTTTTCCTTCTTTTTTTTAATCAAAAAGTTTCTGAAACATAAATTGGACTTTATATACAGTGTAGAGTGAGCCAAAAAAGAAGAAGAAATGACGCACCCCTGAATAACTTTTGTTCTAATGATCGGATATTTACGTTCTTAGCATCGACCTTAATTGTTCGAAGAATCGACCTCACATGCACAATCTAATTCGCACTAACTGTTCGGTAGAGAAATAGTACTCAAAAACTTTTAACGAACAAACATTTTTTTTTTCGTTACTAATAAAATAGGGGAAGTAAACGCACTCTCGGAAATATAGTTTCTAGAGTTTAGTTTGGAATTCGATCGGAAGTCAAAACCCCTAAATATTAATTTAACTTTTTGTGAAAAATTTCTTAGTGAATCAAAAACGCCTTGCACGTAATCCTAGAACTTATTCTTCCAAAGAATAAAAGAATCATCCACGTAAAGAGTCATCTTCAATAATTCATTATTCTTTATTATTTTATTTAATAATGTCCAAAACAATTCCAGTTTTTTAAACATTTTCGTTTAACTATGACTAATTATAAAGTTTGAATGACATCGACATAATAGTTCTTGAGTATTAAAAATTTTTAAATTAGACTTTTTTTCTTCATTTATCAAGCTCAGAAATTGTTTATTTAATTTTGTTAAAATAAAGTAAAAATCTGATCATGAAAACAAAAATTATTCAGAGTGGTCTTTTATTATTTTATTTTTATATATTTATATTAAATTTATTTCATTTTACCTATATACTTTTTTTTTGCAATTTTTATACACATATTGGTAAAAATTTTCGATGCTAGGGGGCGAAGAAAAATACATAACTAAAACTGGCAAGATGATTAAAATCATTTTACTTTGTGCTTTTTTTTTTCATTTGATTTGTTGATACTTTCAGTTGGATATTAAATATAAAAAATTATATTGCGGGCGCTTTTTTTTTTCCCTTAAAATTTCTTTAATCCTACTAATGAACGCAAATCCTACAAAATATATCAAAAAATTATTTTTTCAGGAAGGCGATAAAAGCTACAGCATTGTTATTCCCGTTGTTGGGGATAACTCATCTACTTTTCTGTATCAACCCACGAACCGATTTAGAACAAGTATACATGCTGGTAAATGCAGTATTGCAGTCTTCACAGGTAAATTATTACTTTCTACAAAACTTCTTCATTTTAGCAAAAAACAGCATTTTTAAAATTGAAATTTTATGTAAATGCTCTCAAGTAGTCGTATCTCCCAGATTTTCGTAAATGTATATATATAATTACTAAAAAAAAAAGAGCACTGCAATTTTTATTACATTCAATTATTTTATAACATTAGTTGTATAAAACTAATGTATAACTATCAAGAAAACAATCCGAGAATACACTTTCTCTATGTACAGTGTGCAAAAAAACTCCCCATCCTGAATAACTTTTGATCTAGTAATCGTATCTTCATGTTCTGGGACTCAATGGTTTGAGGGGGTGATTTCAAATAAGCTAATTAATTAGTGCAGACATTTTAAGTTACGAAATCGGACACCAAACATACTCTCTCCAAATAAGCTTACATTTTTTCCAAAGGATTCAGATTTCTGATCCCTCAAAGTATAGGGAGCAGCAGCAATCTGGGAAATATGATCCCCATAGTTTGGTCAGGAGAGCGATCCAAAGTTTGTACCCTTTAATATTAATTTTGCTTTTTGCGTATTTCGCCATATCTCGAGAGCTTTTTAATCAAATTGAAGAACTTTTACCCACAAATATAAAGTTTGTTTATCAAAAGATAATTCCATTCAAAAAATAACTTTGAGTAAATTTTTATTATTTTATTTAATAATAGACAGAAAAGAAAATTGAATTGTAAGTATACAATTTTTTTCATCATTTTAGAAAATGTAAAATACAAAGTCTGAGCGAAATTGATCGAATAGTTCTAGGTTAATTTAATAGTATTTTTAAAATTCAATATCTCAGAAACTATTCGACCGATTTTCCTCAAATTTAGTATTCTGACATATAAAATTACATTCTTTAAAATAATGTAAAAAATTTTATAATGTATATAATATTTCATAATTAATGAATCTGACGTACCACTGTTAAAAAATCTAAACAAAAAATTAACTGGCAAAACTGCGAAAAATGTTTTTTACTGCTTGCCATAATATTCTAAATTATTTGCGAATCCATTATTTGCAAGGATAGCTCTTATTATTTCCATAGCCTTTATACTATGTTGTTGTTGCAAATAGTGGTTATTAGTAAAACATTGCCTTACTATTTAGCCCAGTTTGTACAGCCATCTATTGAGAAACTTTGTTACGAACTTTGAAATTCAGTGAAGATAAATAACTGGTTCCCTAATCAAAATGCAGCAAAACGTTCTTTCCCATCTCCTTCCGTTTACAGACACTGGAAATGAATTAAACCTTAAATTATTATTTTTGGGTTCTCTTTCTACACGAATAACAACCCGTATTAGTGAGGTAACCAATTCTACTGGAGTGCATCGCTTCCCGAAGTGTGCTTATGTCCAGAGTATATAATGCATTAGTTACATATATTTAAAGATCTCGTTAACTAGATAAAACGCAATGTAGATAAGATGTAAATTAGGTGTTAGAAATCAACTTAATGTTCATTGAACCAAATTTTTGCACTTCTAGCACGATATTCACTTTCATTATAGTCCATGATGTATCCGTCACTTCCGGAATAAAAATGTAACATTGCAAGATGAACCTGATTTGCCACTGGGGATCCTTTTTGTTTACCCTTGAGGAACATTAAGGTACCCCCTCCGTACCAGCAGAACATGTCTCACGTGATAATACTCCCACCCCACCAGACCCTTATACAGTGCGAAAATAGCAAGAGAAAAACTCCCAAGTTTCTAAATTCATCGGCCAATGTGTGTATAATTAAAAATGAAATATGTCAATAATTTTAATAGAATATAATTGTTATTCCTTCTAAAATGTTCCCGTTCTTTTCAGGGGCTTTTTGTGGCTGTCCTATATTGTTTTCTTAACTCTGAAGTGAGTATATTTGTTTTTTGTTATTTTGAAAGAGAAGGGAAATATTTCAGTATGAGCTATTCTTAGTTATCATATCTCAACACACTAAAGCTATTTCTTTGAAGAAAAAAGAAAGAAAGAAAACAGGAACCCCCATTTTACCTTTAATCTGTTAGTAACGTAAATTTACAAATATACTGTTATTATACGCACTCTCAGAAATGAAATTCCCACTTTTGACGATTCAGGAGTCTTTGAGCTATATTTCGTTATTTTTGAAGAATCATTTCGTCACCTAAATTTCGTCATTTGTGACGAGATACGAACTCTTATATGTATGACGAAAATGTCTCCTCAATTCGGAAAATCGTCGTAGTACATTGTGGGAGACTGTTGACTAAAATGACGGAACTAGAATGAAGACAAGATGATCGGAGCTAGAATGACGAAATATTTCTTTTCTTCTGATGAAATTCATTTACTCGAAGAATTCTTCGCTTAAGCGACTATAGTTATTTCATCACTTGGAAAAACTGTTCTCTCGGAGCATATACCATGAAATGGTTTCGACAAAAACGAGGAAAGTTTCGTGAAATTCGAATATCCGTTTTGTACAGCGTGCTTTGCCGCGAATCTTTAAAGTCTATCACATTTATATTAAATATGTATACTGCAAATTTGTTTATGCATTACGAGATGGTTTAGATTCGTGAATCAATTCGTTTAAAAACAATGGTCATAACAGTAGTTTGAAAAACGTAATCAAATACTTTACCCATTTTCTTAAACACACATTTTGAGCTATATCCATTTTTTCTAATAGGCATTTCAAACTATTTTCAATATAAAAATTCAATAGTCGAGATACTTGTTTGGTAAATGGAGAAGAATAATCTTGATACTTACTTTTTTTTTAAAAAAGGAACTATACAATAACATTTTATCAACAAAAAAATCGTGCTCTTTAAAATACTCTGCAGAAATAAAATTATCAATTCTTTCTTGCTGTAAGGCAACATAGACTGAAAGCTTCCTAATATCTTTGCAGGTTCAATCAGCCGTAGTTGCTGCTTACAAAAGATCAACTCAGCGTCACAATCCACGAAGGTCTTGCCGATCCTCAAGGAAGTTTGGCTCGAGCATCTCCACTTCATTATCACCCGAACATCCCCATCTCTTTCCTCAAGCTTCTAAATTACGTCTTGCTTTGCTACAACGGCCCCCAGTCGAATCATTAAATCCAGAGACTGAAGAAACTGCTTTCAATTCGGACTACAAAAATGTCATCTAACTAGTCAAACTATAGCACGTCACCTCTATCACATCAAGTTGATTAGCAGGACAAAGAATTTTTGCGAAAGTTCTTGAGGGTCCTTTTCTTTTCTTTTTAATTATTATCATCATCGATGATCCACGTTATGGGTTTTGCAGAATAAACGTTCCCGTATCCTCGTGACTTTGGATACCAATCAAAAGACTAGGAACTCGGGAGATAGGTGGAGTGCGAAACTCGAAGACATCTAGCATAGAACTACCACAGAAATCTGAGTTACATTAGCAAAAGAACCAAACAAATCTTTCACTGCTAGACTAACAACATTTTGTCTCATATTCATAATTGATCTGCCATCAGAGATATTTCATAAAAGCATGGTGACTCTGAAGCAATGTACAAATGCACCAATCATATTCCAGACCTGACTCATTCGCTATATCTTTAAACCATCCCAAATCTCTTAAGGTAATTGTCTCACCATCCTGATAAGAACCTAACTGTAAGACACTATGACACTTCAATTACAATAAGTTAGTATGATCAAGGTGAAGTTTTTACCCTATTGCAGTCCTTACACTTTTAATAACCAGTTAAAGGACGACTTTCTAAGAAGCATAATTTACTTCGCATTTACGTTTGTGCTAAACTTTGAGCGAAATAAAATGTATGTTTAACATTTAAATATGATGATGACGAAGTATGTTGGTGGTAATACCATGTAAAATATCGAATAGATGACCGCACGATCTTTAGATAAGTTTTTCCTCAATCTAGGAACGGGAAAGTAAAATTAAATATAACTTAGGAGATATCAAGTCGATCAATAACGGTAAACAAATATGGTGAAAAATTTCCCCACAATTCCCATCAAACTTTTGATAGATATCATGTTACATGCGTAACATATTGATGCCAACTGTGGTCGAAAGTTCTTTTTTTGGCAAATCTTAAACATCACCACTATAAAGTGAGAAATTAAAATTTAGTTACCTATGAAAAATAATATCTCAACAATAACACTTAAAACATCTAATAAAAGTTTTTTCTTCCGTATCCCGATAAGAAAAATTTTAGTAAAATCTATCATATGTATACTAAGTATATCGCAACTGCGTCATAAATAACGTCACAACTAAAAAATACACACATTTGAGTTTCGAAAATGCTTAAAATCTATAAAATGTGAATAAGTCAATTCCCAACAAATATAATGCATATTTACGATGTTTTAAGTTAAGTCTTTTTACGATGTTTTAGGTTCAGAAGTTAAACTGAAATGTGTACTGTAAATAAACATACTTATTATTTTCGAGAGATGTTTAGGCAGACTCAATGTTAATTAATGTCTCTTTTTACGCAATTCATCGTATCTCTGAATATATTTAAGAAAATAAAAAAAAATTTGCACATGAAAATCTTATCTTTTATCCCATAAAAAAATATTATTTTATAATTATTTATTATTTTTTATTCATTTTAATAATAATTTAAAGCTTTTTGTACTGTAAATTACGCATGTTTTATCTAATTTTAAAATATTTGTTTTAAATGACATAATACGACTAATTAGTCTTGGAGCAATAAAAGTTTTAAGAAAATTTAATTTTGAATTTTAATTTCTCAAGAACTATTTATTTGACCATTTTCGTTCAAACTCAGAATTTCGCTAACTAAAATTATTTTGTTGAAATTCGTACACCTTATAATTTAAACATTTTGTGATCATTAAAAAAATAAACAGTAATAATTTAATAAAAAAATTATTTTTACGTAGAATTCTCTTAGGATAAACGAGTTTTATATTCGTTTATTCGAGTTTTAATGTAGGCAAACATTTTTTTAAATAAGTTAATTTTCGTGTCTGATTTCGAAACTTAAAATATCGTCAATACAAATTAATCAGCATATTTAAAATTCGATCCATAAAACACTAAAAATATATTGTAGTGCTTGATAATCTGACCAACAGTTATTAAGGTGTCCCTTTTTTTGTGCATTATATGAAAATTTTTCTACAATGTTTAAATGAAGTTACATCATAATTTTCGCCCGAGAGGAGATATTAAATCCAATGGTCGCCAGGAATAACTTCTTAAGTATCCCAACATCTCGCTTAAGATTTAAAGGGATGTCTTACAGAATACCTTTTCAATCACATCAAACAAGCCATGTGTTGTTAAACAAAATTGTTGATGCTTCGTACGGATCACTTTTCTTACTTTTTTTTTTCAAACATCATATAACTGTTTGTTAAGAAGAAGAAGAAAAATGTGATTTATAAATTGAATAGTCTTGCAGGCAAGATGACTTGATATAATGACTTCTTAAGTCTTAATACATGTTTTTTATATGTTTTCAAGGTTTCAAATCAAACCAATTTCAAAGCATATTTTTTCAAATTTTTTTTCATCCATTAACTCTTGAAAGTAAAAGAGGGTTAAAGAAAAAGAATCATGTTTCACTCAACATTATTTAAAAAAATGCTTGTATTTTTTATACCCTGCTGCAAAAAAAAATGGGGTATATATAAAAAACACCCACATCAAAAAACTTATGGAATGTACATTCTTTTTAAACCAAATGGATATTTCTTTTTATTGCCAACCACTTTAGCTTTAAAAAAACTGTACTTTGAATTTTGTACTTGTACCTCAGATACAAATACAAACATTTAAGTTATTAATGTATTCGTAGTGGAATAGTTCTATATACGTAGTTCTATATTATTTCTTTTAAATAAATCCTACTAATGGAATATTTGTGTCACCGCATTTTTCTTTTTTTAAAAAAGGAACCGTTCTTTTAAAGACAGGCGCAAATAAGGTAACGTTGTTTACAAAAACACAAAAAAATTAATTTTCACGAGTTGTACATTTCAGAAAACTTCAAATCATACTCATTACAGTGACATGACTGCATTCAGTGTTGTGAAATGCACGAAAATAAAAGCATTGTTTTTCGTATTACTATAGTTGGAACTGTGTAATATTCATTGAGTAATCTGATCTGAGAATCCTTGAAGAATATCATTAATTGGTTCTTGTATAAGTTCATCATTGATTAAAAACATTCAAACCTATTTGTCTGATTTATTCTTTTTAATTATGTATACATTGAAACTCCATAAGGATGAATATCACTGTAAAATCAGAAACTCTTTTTTTATATACTCATACCTGAGCCAGCGGAGGGTTCCTGATAGAGGAGAGTTCAGATTGATCGAATGAATGTATAATTCATATAAAATAGTAAATTCCACTTTCACACTCTTTGTAAATAGAATAGACTTGATTTATTCAGTCTCCATACTTTTCTCCTCTCCGCTATCATGGCATCCGAAAATTTTGCTTTTATCCCAGCCCGGTATATTCCCACTTCTTATTAAAACGAACCGCCAAGGAAAAAGCAAGATTTCCAATAACCATGGTAACGAAATGAGAAAAAGTATGAAGAGTGGGGAAATGACGTTACTTAGAAATGACTATTTTATTTAAAAGGCCAATTCTATTTAATAGGTTAGGTTCATTTGTTTGATGCATGCAGAGTGTTCCACTATCACCGTAATGTCTATTATTAGAATTCTTGTCAAAGTGACGTAAAAAAATTTAATATTAGGAGTCGCATTTAAGGGCAGAAAAATAAAAACGCTATGGAAGTCTAATGAATCCCTACTGAGGTAGAAAAAAACTCGTTTGATTTTCGAAAGAGTGTAGTTAAAGGTGATTAGTCGATACACCTTTAAGTTAAATGAGGAAATCAAACTAGATTTTCATATTTATCATCTCACCGTAATTTACAATTCGACAGAATTCTTCTATAAAATTATAATAGACATCTCATGAAATGCCATTTTTTTTCTTCATTGTATACAATAATTCTAAAAATATAGGTTAAGAGTGGTGATTGTGGAATCCCCTGAATAAATATGTAGATTCATTGAATAATTATACCTCAAGAAAATCTTATTCATAAAGCATGACTTTTTTTAAGCTTATTGAATGAACCCATCCTTAAAATCTATATTTGCTCAGATAACCTGGTTTTATACACTCCCTTTGCAATTTGCTCAGAACAAATTTCAAAAAAACTTAAAAATAAGTTTCTAATTGAGTGTCAATTTTTTTTTTTTTTAAATTTTTTTAAGAACTTTAAAGGTGATATTTTTGATTTTGATGAAACGTTCAAAATTTGCTCCTTATTTGAACTAATAGCTTAACTATTAGGACATAAATATTTATGGTTGACTCTTCGCACAAAGATCATTCAAAATTTGGTAAAATAAGGCAATTCTTAGATTTTGATCGAGAAAAATGTCATCCAGAGTTCAATTCAGACTGCTACTACCATGTCAAGTGAACATGGTAGTCGCAGTCTGAAAAAATTTTAGAAATGGTGGCAACTGTCCCATGAGGAAATCGAAAATAATATATGCGAGATTCCATTGCACGCTAATTTAAGAGATTAAGTTGTTCTGTTATTGCATAGATAGTTAATTTACAAATATTTCTGGTTGACAGTAGCTAGTAAAATCTTTTAAAATAAGCAGGAAGATACAATAAATAACATTAAATTTTTGTTTCCTTAGTACCTCGTTTTTCCCCGCATTCTCCTACAAAATAAAAGTGAAGCTGTGGCAATCACTAGATTTTATAATTCTAGTAATTGGTAAAAGGAAAATCTTTGTAAAAGAAGTAGTAACACATTTATAAATGTACTAATTAACAATTTTTGCAATACCTGTTGAAAAAGAAAGGAATATTGACTTTTAATATTAGTGATCAAAATGAACTACAGGTGACGCAGAGCAGAACTCTCTACTTATTGGCGATCTCAACGCTCGAATAAGCCATCTGGGGAGAGATCGGTTTCATGCCCTTGGCCCGTTCTCCCTTCCCTCTCCTCCTTTTTTCAGTTATATAGGAATGTTCTACGATATTTTCCCTTTTCTTAATCTTTTTCCTTTTTATTTAATAAAAATATTTTTTAAAATGTCCGTGATGCTTTTCTTTAGAACTATGTTTAATTAAGTTTTCAGTTCCATATAGTTTTCCAACTTAAAAGATTTTAATCTATATGAAAATCAAGAGAGAAACTAACTTACTTCCTTCCTCTATGACTCTCCACACGCTGATGGGGAAAGCATGCGAAATGTTGCCATATGTAGAGAGTTCTGCTCTACGCCAACTGCAGCCCATTTTGATCGCGAATTTGAACACTTCGCATGCTTTCATACTTAGAGTAGGAGTCATTTGAGAAACAAGTACGTTAGTTTCTGTCATGATTTTCAAACATTATTAAAAAATTTTAAGTTAGAACTCAAAATTGCATCGATCATGATTCTTAAACAAAGCATCGTGGAAATTGCAGGAAACACTTTTTAGAATTAAATGCAAATATTATTATAGAAAAGGAATTTTTGCAATCCATTTCCACAAAACTGAGTAGGGGGAGTGTAAAGACATGGAACTGCTTTTCTCTCCGGATAGCGCATTCAAGCAAAGAAAAACATGTGTTAAAGAATCAGTTTTGATTTGATTTGTTCATTTACGTCGCACTAGAGCTGCACTGGGCAGCAATGGGCTATTGGCGACGGTCTGGGAAACATCCCTGAGGATGATCCGAAGACATGTCATCACAGCAGAGGGGATTTATAATTTTANCTTCGGTAGCCCGACGACCTGCACGCGAAGTCGAGCACTTTACGGTAGAACAGTTTAACGAGGACCAGTACCACACATCCTTGGTCCTTATGCAGACTGATCCAAGTGTTCACCCACCCGCACACTGACAGCAGTCAGTGATGCTTGACTTCGGTGATCTGCTGGGAACCTTGTCTTAACGATCAGTCCACTGCGGGACGTTAAAGAATCAGATTACAACAATGAAAAAATAGAACTTTACGTAAATTAAATTTTAACGAAGATTAATTTAAACTGAAAATAACAGTAACTCAAAACATATTCATCCGAGTCATATGACTGGTAATCATCAGAGACAAAACACGACGACCATTCGCGTGAAAAAATAATCGCTTCTGCGAATTTGGAGATGTGAACGTAAACCTGATTGGCAGGTTTCTCTGGGAAAAATACGATTCACCAATCCAGTTTATATTCGTAGCTCTGAATTCGCATATGCGAATTCTTTGCATTCAGTATGAAGGGATATTCACATTGCTTGTGAACAATTTGCATATGCGAATTCGGAGATACGAACGAGAACCTCATTAATGAAGTACGTTTACCTGCAAAAATCTCACAAATCAAGTTCTCGCTGGCTTCTCTGAAATCGCATACGCGATTTTTTTGTGTGCAGTGTAAATGATCCTTGACCGACCTCTGTCATCATAATCGAGTGTTTTTTGGTAAGTTAGGTTAATGCCATGAAGTATGTCTTTATGTTCTAAACAGTTTTGAAATCGATTCTTGTTTCAAATTGCGAGATGTGCATAGAGATGTGAAATAAACAAAAGACTGTTTGATATTTTTTTGACTTAGCATTAAGATCTTCATTGAAAAATATTTGTCATACAACGATCACTTCAAGTAAAATATTATTTTATTGAAAGAATAGACTTGTTTTATATCCTTAATTTTAGTGACTTAATATTTTAAATTCCCGATGCTTTTCCCGCCAATTGCTACGTTACAGTACAACAGATTGCTTTTCATACTTTATTTAAATTTTTAGACATTGTTTCAGAACTTTTGCTCGGTTTTATCCGATAAATAGATTACGAATTTTATGAAAATGGATTATGTGACATCTCTCTGTAAATACCCACTCCTGTATTTTTCAATCATTTAGAATTTATTTGTGATATAAAAAAAATTAACAAAATGTTCGATAGAGACAGTTTACTTAATGACACTAACACTTATTTTGACAGTATTAATTTCGGTGAAATTAACGAACGATGGATTGATGAAGTAATCGAAAATGAATACAATGATGTTGAAGAAAATCCGATGACTACCAGTATACTATTTGCTGATGACCCTTTCAAAACGTTAGATAAAATATGTTTAATTTGTGAGAAATGGTTTGAACGTCAAAGTAACGTTTCCGAAGACAGTAGTTTTGCTACAAATACTGATGATTCTGCGCAAGAGGAAGTATTATGGACTTTTCTAAATAACCTTGACATTTCTGTGAAACAGGTATTGGGAATGATTTATTTATTGTGTTCTAAAGCTTTAAAAACGTCTTCTTCTCTTGAAGATAAAAAATTGGGATTGGTCAGTGCTAGATTTTACTTCATCTGTTTAAAAATTCCAGGAAGTTCTGCATATTCTGTTTTCCATCCTAATCTATATAGAACATGTGTTGATTGTCTGCAAATGCCAAGTCATGTGCCTGAAACGAAAGACACTGTTTATGTTTGGAGGGATTTTGAAGCACTTTTACCTGCTTTTATAAGTACTTTAGATGCTTTAATTCCACTTTTAAATGATTTTCATTTGGGTAGTGATATTACAACTGTTGATTTCACCATTCAAAAATTAACGGAATTGTTTGCTTGTGAAGCTTCTAATAACAAACTCAATTTTGATGTTAATTTATTGGATATGAGTAAAGATGAGCGTAGGCGACGTTATAGTCGAACTTCCACAGTGACATTACTTGTTTCCCAAGGTATGCTAATACTCGCCCGTGCGGAAATGAATGGTGACAAAGAAAGTAATTGTTCATTTATTCTCTCGGGTTTAAATACTCATATTTTATGTGCAAAGATCAAAAAGGCAACTACTATACCACATAAATTTGTTGTTATTAAAGACAATGCTGTTTCATTTGTTAAATATAATCTCGCACACAATCAAGAATTGTTTTCCAAACCAACGGAAACTACTTTAAAAAGACTTTGTTTGCAAGTTAGTGACAAGAGTGATTTCAGAGCGACTGTTTCCTATGCTATTTTCGCAATAATGTTTGATCTGGTGGTTTGCGATTTAGTTGAATTTTTGCAGTGGCTACTGTTGCTCGTTGATTCAGCCGATACAAACAATCGAACTTTTGCGCTAGAAGTCTTGGGGCTGCTTTTGAGTGAAAATGTTCCCGGAGTTGATAAAACTGGCTTGCCTGATTCCGCAGAAGTTTATCTGACCCCGATTCCGGTCATATTTTCGATTCTTACTCGTTGCGATGATATTGCATCAGGTGTGAGGTCTAAAGCATTGACTGTTATCTCGCAACACACTAAAAAATTGTTAGAATCTCTGACAGAATTCATGAAAGATCCGTCTACAGCGAAAACAGAAGATTTGGAAGAAATTGTTGAATCTGATGTAAATGGGGAAAACCGTGCATTTTGGTACAATTTGGATTACAGAGGAATATTAGATGAAATAGCTGCTATAATTTATAGGCGAGCAGAGGACTCATCTGCAAATGCTAAAAAAGCTGCTCTTCAAGCATTGGAAAACTTGATTTTGTTTGATCCTGTATATTTGTCTGCTGATTATTTAAAAGTAAGTATAAATAAGATTTACTACTACATATTATGTTAAATGTATTTAAATTGATAGTGGTATTGGCACCTTTCTAATGGTGCACCCTCATCAGTAGGGTAGGAGACAGGATTGGTAAAAGATTGTAGTGATATTAATCTGACATCATACCAAAGAGTAAGCGATAAATATAGAGTTAAAAAGTAAAATGATAAAAAATAATTAAATATTTATGTTTTCCCAATATTTGACTAATATAGTTTAGCAATAACATTAACCAGTGTTCTCCCTAAGCGCTTTTTTGTAAAAATAAGTTGCCATCCCTTAAAGACACTGCTTTTTTGTTCATCTATTTAAAAATAATAATAAATAAACAAAGCACTGGTAAATTTAAGTTTCACATTTTTCAGGAGGATATATTAATGAATTTAAGCAATTTTGAATTGTAAAATTATTTTTTAATTATTTTTTTTTAAATGCACTTTTGTTTTTTTTTTTTAAATAATTTTCCATTTAAATTACAGAAAAAAACCTTTCAAATTGTTTATCAATTGATCAGTTTTTTTTTTTTTTTTTTTTTTTTTTTTTTTTTTTTNAATATGTAGGATGCTCAGAGATTCTCGTTTAGCATGCCTTTAATTTTATTAAGTATATAAATAAAATAGTATAAGAGATAAATTTAAAAATAGTTGAGGATCAAATTCAATTATTACATAACATTACACAATTTAAAAAAATTTCACTGTCGTGAGTGCACTTTCAAAATTTAAAGTGCCGTTTTCTGTGAGGAAGCACTCTGTCCTTTTTTTTATTTCTAATTTTGACAATTGAATTTTTTACTTACTCATAATGTTGATAGGCTCATTAAGCTGAAAATAATTATGATCAATAATATTTTAAATTTAATGTACAATTTTTCTCTGTGATAAATATAAATTTCTGACTTATAAAGTTTCAGTTTATTAAATTTTTGTATTTATTATGACATTTAATTAACCTAAAATAATACATTTATAATTATTTTTTAAATTTATACCGCTTTGATTACAATTTTGTTAATTTCTTAATTGACCCTATAATACGGAAATATAAAATAAAGAGTCAAAACTTATTATTTTTGGTTAATGACTATTATAATATGGTTACATACGTATTAAAGCCACTGCAGCTGCAGATTTGACAGTTTTTAAGTGCCGCCAGTCTACACTTAAAATTTTTGCAACAAATCATAAAATAAAAATCTTTATTTAAAATTAAAACACTTTCAAAATTCAAAACACTTTATTTAGAATCTAAGTAGTCAATCGGATTTCGGTGGAAAATGGGCCAATATAGAAGTTAGTTTAAATTCAAGACAATTTCCATTTTCTTTCACCTGATGCTGTCGCCATATGAACTCTAATAAATAAGATTCCAAATTAAATAACATTTCCAAAAGGTACGTTTAGCAAGATAAAGTTTTATGTCTTGGGAGTTGGTACATTTTTGTTTTTTTGGTAAAATATTTCGCTCCTGAAAAAATAAAATTGCATCTTGTTCTGTTTTTGGCAAATCCCAAGGACGCATTTTCGTAGCACTAAAAAAAAGGCCTCAAAAATCAGCAAACAACAAGACAGCAAGGAAGCCGTGAGATAAAATTGCTCTTTATTGGCCCGTTAGAGCAATTTCTGCTGCGGTGGTGTTAGTACGCAAGTACCTAAAATATTCTGAATACCTTCAGAAGCCTCTTAATATCTTTTTATCGTTTAGAAAAGTGTTTTGCTACCACAGCTATTTCTACACTTTGTTTGCTTGTAAATATTCAAATTATATGTATTTCTTCTTTTTATTTATGTGTAGCTTTTTGTTACCGCTTCAAAAGATGCCATTCTAACTTCACGCAAACAAGTTATACAGTCAGTTACTACCATTTTAGATGCCTATCCAAATAACCATATTGCTCAAGATTACTGGTTACAGTGTATTACTCCATTGGTGCATGATCCTGAAACTACAGTACAGGCTAAAGCCCTAGCTGCTATGGAAGATAGATTTCTGCATCATGTCTTCTCTAATAAGGATGATCTTAAAGACTGTGCCTTCTCCTTGCTGGAAAAATTATCCATCGGACAATATTTATCTCATCAAAGATATCTACAAAAGTCTTTTAGCTTGTGGAAAACTGATAAGAAACTCAAGTAAGGAAACCTTCCAATGCTTTTATTTTTATAACTTGTAAGATATAAAAATAAAAGCATTGGAAGAATTAAGAAAATAAATTACAGTTGGCTCTCTGTTTAATTACTAACAAGATGTATTTAAAGGTCAATGAAAGTAGAGTGTTCTTATGTTATTTGTGTATTGTGAATTTAGGTAGTGGCAGAACGCAGGAAAATACAGCTTCTTCTGAAGCATTTTTTATTTGGCGATTGTGACACATGAATAAAATACAAATGAGTAGATGAAAGAAAAAGTAACATAACCATAACCGAGTCTCGCGCCAGAGCATGAACTCGACTTCTGTAAGAATCTTGCATAGTAGCTTTTACAAACAAAAGGAGAGTAGTAACTGGCTTCTCCTGTGAGGAAAACACTCTCTCACAAGGTTGGTTTGATGAGCGTGAAATTCCTGACAAACGCCTGACTTTTCAGGGGTCTGTCTAGGTTTTTCCGAGAGGTACCTATTTTGTGAAAATTAAAAATTATATTAAAAAATCAACACAAAAATATGGATTTATCGTTTCTTGCGAAACACAAAAAAAATTTTTTTAAGAGAAGTATTTTATGAAACTAGCGTTTTTCCTAACCTTGAATTTGTGAAGGTACTGCTAAACGGTAGTAAATTTTACTTAAAGAAAGACTCCTGCTTTTACAACATCATCTTGTAGCTTATCTAGCGATGAACAATGAGCATAGATTCAGCTGATTTGATGTGATGATTGATCATATTTCCAACTGATTTAGCAAATTGAATTATGTTTTTTCATTTAATTAAATATTCAATTTCGCTATTGTTTCTTATTCAGTTATGCTTAGCTGGTAAAAATAGAGTAATTTTTTTTATCTAGGAGTATTTGAATGGTGCAGCTTAAAAAAGGAAAACTTAAAAGTGAAAAAATGTTTTAGATATGATTAAATTCTGCTTTTAAATATGCTCTACCAGAACATTGTTTAACAGAGACTCAACTACAGTATAAATAGGGTTGCTTACTAGTTTGGTGGGTATGAAAGCTGATAAAATCATCAAGATTCATCCTGAATGCATGAGCCAGTTATTTACTTGATCTCCTCTCCTTTTATTACATTAATTGACTCAAATATAATGAAATATATAAAGAAAAGCATAATGGGGAAAAAAATAATTGTTGATAATAAATAGTTTTAACCATCCTTCTTAATCTGGTGCCATTTTGTCTGATACCCAAATTGTTTTCTTGACTTTCTTAGTTCAGTAATTTTTAAGACAGGACTTCCATAGTATCCACCCTTCTCAGCTCTATATTAATTGTAATTATTATAATTTTCTCTTTCTGTTAATCCTAGAATACCAAATTTGTCACTTGTTAAGATTATTTTCTTTAACAGGGTACGTAGCGTTTTTAAAAAGTGCTTACAGGTGCTTATTTTTGTTTTTTAAAAGCCCTTAAAGGTGCTTTTCTCATTGGGTGTTTTTGAAAAATGCTTAATTTTCCCTTTTTCCAAAATGAGATTTTTCCTTTACTATGTTGATTTTCGCTTTGAATTATGCAAAAAGACGGAGTTCAAATTGTTCTATTCAACGTTTTCATAATTAATTCGACCCCAATGTATTTCGCCGTATAGTCTGTCCGTTGTGTGTGAAAACGCCCTTCGTTTTACACGATTCAAAATTTCATGATTTTTGACAATTGTCAAAAACTATGCCAAAAGGTTTGTTTTTTTTTATGACATAACGGTTAAAACAAGATAAAACCGTCGATTGTCATAAACTTTCGAACCTTGCCTAGTTATGGTATTTTTTTTAAGTACTTAAAAATATTTTTTGAGTGCTTGAAAAAGGCTTAAAAGGTGCTTATTTTTTGTTGAATAATTTGGCTATACACCCTGTTTAATAACGATTTTTTTTAGATTTGTTCGCCATTTCTAAAGTGACTGTATTTTAGCAACAACTGACTTGCTTTGCTTATAGGCCAGCACCATTAATATTTTTCATTCCAATTATTAAATTTAGAACGTTTATAACTGAGAATTTAAGTACTATTGGTTCCAAATTACTAAACTTAAATCATATGATTACTGCCAATGTGTTGTAACATTTCAAATTTCAGAATGGTTCATTGTAAGACATGTATAATAAGTTTTACACATCTCGCTGAGCTTTAAAATTTACGCAATTTTTATCAGTTTTTATTTTATTTATGTTTTTATAAAAATAATGAAATTAAATCACAAAGTATTTAATATTTTAATTATTTTTTGCAGTTTGAATGTTGCTAATATAGAAAAGTCTTTTGGTCATGGTAGAGATGAATCAATTTGGTTTTTTCTCTCTGTTTTTTCTGCCTTTGCAAAGTTGTCTCCGAAGCTAAGTGAAAGAGCTGTTGATGAGTTTCAAGAAGTGGATAGTTGGAAAAGCTATTCTTACATGGAAAATATACTAAAACTTTTAGGTTATACTTATACCAATATATCTCCCTCAAAGCTTGATTTAATTAGAGGTATGTAACTTAAATATTTGTTTCCCTTTTTTTTAAAGAAAAAACTTATTCTTAATATCCAATGAGAATTTTTGTTCTCAATGAGAAATAGCATTTTGGCACTATCTTATGTTTTTAGAATATCTTAGTTCAATTCTTAACTGCTTTAAAATTTTTAAGGAAATATTTAATTTTGATGCTACATTCCAAAGTAAAATAAAATGTAATTTTTTCATATAAATTTGTTTTCCTGAAAGAATAACAATATCTGAAAGTTTTTAATATTTTTGTTTAGTTGATTATACAAAATAAAAGAATAATTGAATTATTAATAATTGATCCTAAATGCACTGGCAGAATTTTTGTTCCCAAGAAGAAAGGGAATGTAAATTCTACCTAATATTTTTAGAATACCTTAATTTAATTTGTCAACTATTGATTCGCAAACTTTTTTTTTTTTTTTTTTTTTTTTTGTTTTTTTTTTTGAAAGAATAAGTGTTTTAAAAAAATTTTTATTTTTGTTTAGTTGATTATACAAAATTAAAAAAAAATAATTGAATTATAAACAAATTGATCTTTAATGCTCAGTCAGAATATTTATTCTCTTTAAGAAAGGCAATGCGAGTTGTTATTTTTGTAAGCAATTAAAGTTATGACTACAAAAGAAATTTCACTTGTAATTACTCTTTCTAGCACAATATTTGTTTACCTCAAATTCTACGAAGTTTTAATTATTAGTAGTTTTAAGCACATTTAGTTAAGAATACAGATTTGGTGCTAATTCATTGTGTTTAAAATTATAGATTATACTTGATACATTGCAAAAATTTATTTTTTTAGAATAGCAAAAAAAAAGGGAATTATTTTTAAATAAATATAATTCATTGTTATAATTATTTTGTTATTTTAAAGCTCAAGTATTTTTATAACAGATAAATGCTTTAGTATAGCTAATTTAAACTTTTTAAGTATTCATCCTTTTCTCTTCCTCACAAAAAAGGGGGGAATACTGTCACCGCCAAAGAAAAGATTTCTCATGCTTAAAAAAAAACTTTATTATTGATTTTAATGTCCAGTTCTCAAATTAATGGTATGTTTTGTGCAATTTTAGTTAGTTCTATTTCAATTCTTCACGTTAATGAAGCTTAACTTTTTGTTTAGGGATTGCAAAAGAACATGAACATAACTTTAACAAAAACTTTAAAGTTAACAATTCAGAACTAGATATTCATTTGTACAAATCTTAGAATTTTTTTTTCTTTTCGAAATAGGAGCTAAGGACTACTACTTATTACAAATAAATTTTTCTACATCTATTTGACAAAAAAAACCTTAATCAAATGGTCATTTTAAAAATAAATAAAAGGAACTAAGGTGTATTTCTTGTGTAGCAATAGTGCTTGTTATTTTTTAATACCTATTTGACTAAAAGACATTTATTAAATAGTCGTATTAAAATTTAAGAATATTGATAAAAACCAGTTTAAAAAGTGTTACCTTTATAATACAAATATTTTCATCTAATTTAGGCCGGACTCCAATTACTTGGATAATCGAGGTCCTGCTATACTTTTAAAATACAACAGCCTTTTATAATGATACATTTTTTAATATAAGAGTGAAAATTTTCTCAGAAAGTATCCTTGATATTTATTTGAAATTCACCAATCATTTTTATTTGTTTTGCGTTTTATTTTTATTATGTAATTTGTTTTAAGTTGCTTAAAAGATTTTATTTGTGTTGAATTGAGGAAAGCAGTTTATTTATTTCTCGCTCTCTTTCAATCAACAAAATTAAACAATGCTTGTATGCCTTAATTTTAAGATCAAGATATTACTTAGTTTTTGCTCGGGTTTTCAGTTTTATGTCCTTTATTTATAGGTTGTTATTGTTAATAGAAAATTTCTTCATTAAGCACTAAATATTTTATAAATGTTTGCATAAATTAGACAAAACTTTATTTAACAAAACTGCCACTGATTTTAGCTCTAATTGCAGAGTGACTGAATATTAATAAAAACAAAATGAATGTCTGATTCCTCAATTTTTTTTGAATAGCTTTTTATTCGTGAAACTTTTTTTTTTAATTTTGTGAAAAAAAATAGTGAAATTTGTGTGTGGGGGGTGGGGGAAATAGCAATGATTTTTAAGATAACTGCTCATTTACTATTTTTTTATTAAATATTTATAATTCTATTTTGTTTTTGATTAGGTACCCTTATGACAAAGCTGAAGGACTTTTCAGCTTCTCTAGAGAATTTGCCTATGATGATTGAAGTACTGAAGAAAATTGAAAAGCATTTAAATAATTTGGATGAGTTTGAGACGTTTGCCAGAGAAATTGTACAAGTAAGTCATTCCAGTTTCTTTGTTTTATACATATATATATAT